AGAGGGAACACAAGCAGGGGGAGTGGGAGAGGGAGAAGCAGGCTTCCCGCAGAGCAGGGAGCCCCACGTGGGACTCCAGGGTTCTGGGATTGTGACCAAGCCGGAGGCGGATGCTTTACTGAGCCACCCAGGTGCCCCAAGGCACTGACTCTTTCATCTCACTGAAGGTTAATCAGCCTTTCAAAGGTTCATTCCTTCATTCATTCACTCATTCACCTAACTGTTAAGTGCCAGGCACTGTGCTACCGTGTGTATAACCACCCTGGAGCCCACTGAAGTCCCAGATCTCCCAGAGAGAGGCACTAGGTATCTTCCTTGCAGTGAGGTCATTTGACAAAATCATTGATCTTTAGAGACAAGCTGATTTTTTTTTAAGATTTTATTTATTTATTTGACAGAGAGAGAGAGCGTAAGTAGGGAGAGAGGCAGACAGAAGGAGAAGGAGAAGCAGGCTCCCCACTGAGCAGAGAGCCCAATGCGGGCTCGATCCCAGGACCCTGGGATCATGACCTGAGCCAAAGGCAGATGCTTAACTGACTGAGCCACCCAGGTGCCCCCAAGCTGATTGTTTTAATACTTTCATTTCATCAAACAGTTCCATTCCCTTTCTGGACTCATAGATTCATACTTTATATGTAGAGTGTCAGAACTGGAAAGACCTCAGAGAACAAATGTAATAACCTAGCTTTGTTCAGTGAGTTGTCAGGGGCCACTTAACTAGTTAGTTGCCAAAACCAGAGCTTCATTTTCATCTCTTAAATTCCAGTGCCAGAGAACTTTAAATAAAAGCTTTCCATCAAAAATTTAATACACTTTGGGGTGCCTGGGTGGCTCAGTTGGTTAAGGGTCTGCCTTCAACTCAGGTCATGATCTCAGGGTCCAGGGATCGAGTCCCAAGTTGGGCTCCCTGCTCAGGGGGGAGCCTGCGTCTCCTTCTCCCTCTGCCCCTCCCCCCTGCTTGCGTGCTTGCTCTTGTGTGCTCTCTCTCTCTCTCTCAAATAAATAAATAAATAACCTTTAAAAAATCTAATGCCCTTTACAGACTTATATGTCACACATTGGTCTTATTTTAAGGCAAAATAATCCAAGACATAGAAAGTTAAAACTATTTTTTTTAGTCTGCTTGACAAGGCCTGCCTACAGGACAATAGACCTGCACTTCCCTTCACTACCTTAAAAAAGAACTACCCTTCCCTGTCTCCCTCCCACATAAACCTCCCATGGACTCCTTGTCTGCCTGCTCATTCTCCACCTTATCTTCTAAACCTGAACATTCCTGGAAGCTGGTGATAAAAACTCAAAAAGGTGATTGCTTTTGAGATGTCAGAGGAAGAGAAAAAGGAAGACCAATAAAGAGAGGTAAAAATTCTGGGAAATATAAAGCTATAAGGTGAAAATTTTGTGGGGTTTATAAAAATGGTATTTGGGGAAGATTTTCTGTCATTTATTTACCAAAAGTCATTGTTATTTCAAAACATAAAATACATAAGATATGAAGACCTAGTTTTTAAAAAATTGGAAATTTCCCAAAATGATTATAGAGAAAGCTTTTTTCCCCTCTCTTGTGTTGTGTCTATTTTCTTTATCTTTGTATGGTCTTTGTATCTTTAGCCCCAAATTCAAGCCACACATCGACAGTTCCTCTCGTTCCCACAGAGAGGCAGCAGAACATGGGGTCCAAGAAATTGTTAAGTCAGGCTCTGGCCTCAGACCATGGAACATTTTCTGATTCACACTGACAGACTCACCACAGGAATGTTATAGCCCTCAGTTGGCATTGCCAGGAGCTGGAACTCGACGTCCTCCAAACCCAGGCCTTCACTGCTTCTAGAAAGCAGTGCCTCTTCATACAAGGCTAGTCACTAGACCTGAGGGTCCTTGTCCCATCCTTCCCACCAGAGAAAGTAGGAGAATAGTATCCCAGGTTCTAGGAAGTAGTGGATTGCCTTCCAAGGAAATCACCCTCTTAGAAGACACTCGGAGAAGGCTGAAATAACTCTGGCTTCTGAGTGGATAACTAGAGTTCTGTCCTGAGCTGCCACGTCCTAGTCATAGAACCCAGCAAGTTGCTGACCATCCCTAAGGTTCTTGTCTCCTCATCCATGAAAGGGGGATGATAATAACGTATATCCTCATGGAGTTTTGAGGGTTTTTTTTTTGTTGTTGTTGTTTTTTAAAGATTTTATTTATTTATTCATGAGAGACAGAGAGAGAGAGAGAGGCAGAGGGAGAAGCAGGCTCCCAAGGAGCAGGAAGCCTGATGCGGGACTCGATCCCAGGACCCTGAGATCATGACCTGAGCCGAAGGCAGACGCTTAACCATCTGAGCCACCCAGGTGCCCGAGTTTTGAGGTTTTAATAAGAGGAAATAGTGCGTTGGAAGCCCTGTGTTGGTCACTGAGTGCTATAATTGTTTTTACTATAAATTAGGAACCAACTGATTTGATTTGATTTGCTGTGCTTATTCCCTATGCTAACTTGGAAGGATTTAAGTCAACAATTTTCACATTGGAGCCCATTTGTTTCAACTGTGAGAGGTTAAATTTAGCCATCTGGAGCACTGCGAAGAAGAGAGTTTACACTTATGATCCAGATTTTTCTGCTTGGAAAGTTGATACAAGAACCTCAATCCTATCATACACATGTAGTATATGTAGGCTTTGCTTCTATATAACCAGCATTTCACTTTAACAAATATAATCGATCACATTTTTCATGAGTACATCAAGTGAAAATTTCCACTATGGGTAATCAGGGGCTTTCCATTCATAGGTGATAAGAAGATATTTCTAATCACCCTTCTGCCACTTTGCTGTGACTTATACAGCTACAAGAAGCATGAGAAGACTGGAGAATTCTCATACGCTAATCTATCAAATCCAGACACTTTAATCTGCTCAGGACTGCACAGATGGAAAATCTATCTCTGTTAATTTCTCCTTTCTCTAACACAAAAGACCAGGCAGGGGTCACCTGGTTAATAATAGCCATAAGGCATTTAAAGGACTTGGGGTCTGAGGGTGCTAATTTCCCAACTCACCTTCCTGTGGTGGAGAAATCACAACATCTGACCAGCAAACTCAAGGTTAATTTTTTTAGCCTGGCTTCCTAACCACCTTGAGTCCCACCCTACATGGAGCATGTATTCCCTGGTCCTGCCCAGATGTTCCACTGATTTGCCTCTCTTCTTCTCTCCTTTAAGACCGGGCTACTGAGAGTCCCTTTCACTGGACCAACACTTTCATATACAAATCCAAGTTTTTAGTCTGGAATCTTGCAATCCCTACTTTAGATGGGGGCAGATATCTGAGAACCCATTAGCAAAAGTGACTACATGAGGCAGACAAGGCAGAAATCTATCCACTTGGACCAACTCCCAAGGTGCCTCTCCCTAGAGAAATGGCAACAGTTCTGAGGCTTTGGCTTATATCTGGAAGACAGGAGGGGAGAGTAGGAAAAGATGGAGTTTTCAAGTTATCAGACCAGCATTAAAGTACATAAACAACTACTGTGTGATCCCACATAGAGAGATGGGGCTCTGACGCACGGCTATGTCATTCCTTTTAAATCCCTGTAGGAAATGAGTGATACAAGAACTAGGAAGGAATGTAAACTATTTCTTAAGGAAGCATGCTAGCATCTCTCTTCTTCCAGGAGTTCCCCTGAATAGAACTTGGGCTCATCCTTTCTTAACTGTGACTATACAGGCTCCCTGTGAAAAGGGGAAAGGGAAAGGAAGGATGGTGTGTAGAAGCATGTAGGAGACAGCCACAGAATGTAGATGAAGCCACATCACTTCCAAGCCCATGGAAGACCCATTTTCTGATGTTGTGAATTTCATCCATTTCTCCTGTGAGGTCCCTGAGAGTCCCCTCCATGTCAACCTTCCACATATCCCAACAAGAATCCCTAGTCTTCTATCTCATCCCAGCAGCGCCAACACACACACACACACACACACACACACTCTGCCTCACCCTCACTGCTGTCACCTGTATATGTGCAAAGTATAGCAAATTGTCCATGCTGTGAGGAAAGGGAAAATAAAAGCATAATTTTTTATTTTGTCCACCCATTTTGGGAACCATATACCTGAACTGGGTGGAGAGAGCACCAGCATGATGAGGAGGTGGAGTCAGAGTTGCAGAGAAAAAGATGTTAATACCAAAGAGTCAGCATGGCCGTGATTAGAGATATAGCCCATAAGAGCTGGAAGAGACCCTGAGGATCACACAAAATTACCTAACCCTTCCCTTCCTGCTGGGAAATGGAGGCTGGGAGGCTGACACCCAGGGCTATATATCCTCTTGGGGCGGGGGAGGGTGATGGGAAGTAGATGTGGGCCTTAGAAGGTCAAGCATGTAAAGATGTGTCTGAGTTCCAAGCTGTACCCCAGTTCTGAAAACCTCCACAAAATTCACTGAAGCCTCCCCAAAGTTCCCACAGCCCATTCTGGAGAACAGGTTTTGTTTCTGCCCTTTTCTTTTTGGAAGGAAGAGGATTTTGCCTAGTCACTTCTCAGTCCCCCTATCTGGAATTGGGGATATGGGCTTCTATTCTTCAGGGTGGTTATGAGGATAAATGGGATATAACAAGACATCTAGTATAAATGGCTGGCACAGCATAGGGCTCAATATAGGTCTATGTATCTCCTTTGTCCTTCCTCTTGTCTTCCCCTAAAAGTATGTACTTCCTCGCCTAACTTTTCTTCTCCTATCTTTGGCAGAAATCTTGGGAAACAGTTATTCACTCTCTCCTTCCAAACAAGATGTTGCTAATGGCGGGGAAGGTGGCAGAACATGGAGCAAAATCCAGGCCCAGGCCCCAGGGGACTGTGGCTGGTGAGTACCCGTGTTATTGAGGTGCACCCCATCCACAGTGGAGGGGACACCCAAGTGTGAGGAACTGGGAACCCTAGTGGGCTCATCTGTCTCCACTCTCTAGTCCTCTCCTAGGGGAACAGCTGGAGTCTGGGGATTCAGCCACGCGCACTTTCTTACCTTGAGAGGCAGAGGGGCAGGCAGGGCCGGGCAGCTCTGGCTGGTCTGAATGCGCGGACAGTATCTGTAGAGCCTGGCTCTCCTAGCTCGCGCTGCGGTGCCAATGTCCGCTTCACAGCTCTTCGGGGGTGCCTGGCAGGTGGCAACATCTTTCCTCAGCATAGCGCTTTCACCCCTGTCAGTGGTGTGAGCCAGGTTGGCCTGTGGAATTGAACATCCCAAGGCATCCCAAGACCGAGGGGCCGTGCTCTCCAGGTCCTGGGGGGCAGTGATGGCTGGCCAGTGCTCCCAGCCCATGGAGGGATTGCTGCTTTCATCACTCATTACGGGAGCTGGGCTAGGAAGGCTGCATGACAGGGGCTGCTGTCGTCCAAATTTCCTGGAGGCAGGGGCCAGGGAAGGCCTGTGACGTAGGGATCTGCAAACGCCACCCCTCCTTACATCCAGATCCTGGGGTGTTTCTTCTCTCTCCTCCTCCTTCAGAGCAGAGCAACTGAAAGCAGCTGGTTCCTCTGTCCCAGAGGCCCCCTTCTGCGGCAGGCACGAGGGAGGAGCAGCTGAGCCCTGTGTGCGCCTGAGGTCCTGGCCTGCCAAGAAGCCAGTCCTGGGACTTGGGAAAATGTGTCCCTCCTCCGGGCCCCCTGGGGCTGCTGTCCAGGCTGCCTCAGCTGGAGACAGGGAGGGGAGAGCTCGGGCAGGGGGGGCCTGCAGCTGGATGAAGAGGAAGGAAGTTTTCATCTGCTGTTGCTCAGGCTGTTCAGCCATTTCCTCCAAGGGGGTAGGGCTGGCTCTTGCCAGGGTCGAGTTTCAGACCTCCGTGCCCAGGGATGCAAATGCCAGCAGCTGTGGCCAGACATGACTTGGCCCCATGGTTCCACTGACAGCCTGAGGAAGAAAACGACACACCTTCAGGGGGAGTCTTCAAGGAGCAGGGGTAATGCTGGCTGTGGGACTGGACTCAGCACTCACTTCATAAAATCATAAAAGCAGACAGACTGGTGGAGCACAATCTAGGAATGAGGTGGGAGGGGACAGTCAAGACTCCGTTGCTCTCACCTTGGTGCGTCTGATGGAATTCCTTTTTCTTAATTAAATGTCCCCTTCCCCATATTTGAAATGAAAACACAGAAGTTATTTGTCTCATTGTTTAATCCTGAATTCCGTATTAGCTACACCTCTTCTTTGGTGTCTGACTTGTGAGACACTGTGATTTATACGTGAAGCCTCCAGGACACTTCAAAGTGTACTTTTAATCTCCCTTGCCTGCATTGATAATGCACACTTATAAACAACTTTAATATTTTAATGAATTTCCTCTTTAAATCCTGTGTTTATTTAGGAGTTCCCCAGGAGTCCCATAGTCCCACATCAAAATACTTGGCATCACACACACACAAATAAATAAAAATAATGAGATAAAGATGAAAAAGAGATAAGAGAAAAAAGAGAGAGAGACAGAAAGATAGGAAAAAGACAGAAAATAAGAAAAAACATGCAGGTGACAAACCAGATGCACGGGGCTTTTGTTTGTTTTAGAGAAATACTTCAGCCTCTTGTGAGAACTACAGCAATCCACCTGAAAATTCATTGAGTAATTCACTTTCAGAGGCTCAATACCTCTCACAGTGGAAAATAACATTCTGAGTCCTATGGCCTTGTCCCTGAGGAGTGAAGGGAGTAGGAGGTGGGAAAGGACTTTTCTTTCTCAATGTGAACTTGACTGAAAGGGAACCAGGATGTTATGCTAGGAGACAAACTGAGCCCAGAGCCCAGAAAGTAGGCTGCTCTGCAGCACATGAGCCTGAGCTGTCTCTCTCTCCCTGGCACCTGGCTGCTCCCTTCCGTTGGCAGCACCCCTGGAGTAAGGCAGGGCCATGGCCCTGGCTGACCACCGCTGGCCAGGGCGACTTGGGAGGTTCTCAGGAGGGGTGGCTGGGGCTCTCCATTTATTTTTATTTTTAAACATCTTCGCACAACCTTTACAACTAAGGTGGGGCGGCTCTGCCCACATTTCCAGACAGCTGACAAAGGACTCCGTGTACATCTACTGAGAAATGTGCCAGAGGCAGGCATGGGACACTATAACTCCTTTACAACAAACACCATTACAGAGAAAACTTTGGCAAAACAGTACTATGTCCAAGTCTTAGACCCATCCATTGAAATAATGATATGTTGATCTGATCACACTGTTTTTGAACAAAAGTCCTGTGTGAGTGATGGCCGGTCCTCTTACGTGATTTACCCACTCTCCTATAAAAGTACTTTGCTCAGACACTAATCACTCCACAAATGCTAGTTTGTTCACTGATTAACCGCTGAGAAGGCCAGGAGCCCTGTGTTCGTACAGAACAGGGATTTGGGTGAGAAGAAACCATCATTTTGTTTTAGCCTCTGTGGGTGCCAAGCATTACCCTAGGTGCTTTGCAAACCTTATGTGATTCAAGGCAGAACACAATCCCATGAGGAGGTAGCATCACCTTCATTTTGCAGTCGAGGAATGCATGGGTCAGGGAAGTGAACTGATTGCCGGCTGCCTCTTTCCCACAACCGCAGAAGGGCCAGGGTTTTAAAGAGCTATCAGATGAGAGGTCTCACTTCAACTCCAGCCTCCAAATAAAACGATGTACAAAAGAACTCTGGTGGTAGTGATGGTGTGTTCAGGACACTTCTCTCTTCTAACTTTCTATTTGTAAGCCTACCACAGGAGTGACTGTGGCCAAATATTTCATTTCTAGGTTGTGCGGGCTTGGAATAGAAGAGTAAAGAAATGGTAGATGCCACTAAAGAGTCGACAGAAGGGCTGACAGGACTTACTTGGAGGACACACATAAGACATCTCCTTAGGACACTTTTAAGTATTTGGGGGCCACCTCAAAAGGAGGCTGGAGTCCTGTATGAGACGTTGGGGCAAGCCAGAGAAACATGGGTTTCTGCTATGATGTAAATAGCACTGTGATTGAGAGCATGTGCTTAGTGGCAGACAGACATTTCTCTGAACCCACTGTGTGGCTGTGTGACCTTGAGCAAGTTACTTAACCTCTCTGATTATTAGTTTCTTCTTCTCTAAGATGAGGTAACAATATCTACTTTATAGGGTTGCTGAGAGGATCAGGTAGAAGTGTATATAAAGGGCTTACTTAGCAGAGTAGCTGGCACATAATGGTTTCTCAATAAGTGTTAGCAACTCTTAGAATTTATAACCACATACTATTAAGGCCTAGAGAAAACTGGTTGACCCAATGGAATGGTTTGAGTTGTGGCATGAAATGTATATATTTAATCCATGGTGGTCAATCACACGGCATGTTTTCATGCTTCTAATGTGATGGGTAAATATCTAAGAGCTAAAGAATTAATTGGGATGAGGGAAGAGTCAGCAGTGAATTGGGGTCTGGACACATATGCTTGAGTCCTGGTATGATCATTTATTAGTTATGACTCACAGCAAGTTTCTGAAATTCAGTGCATTTACCTGAGCAAAATAAATTTCTGCCTTTCCTGACTTACAGAATTATCTTGAAGGTCAAATGGGATAATCTATGTAAGAATACTTTGTAAACACAAAAATTAACACGTATTAGGTCTTTAAGTCAGCATGGGTTTTGTTATAATATCAATAATAACTCTAAATCATTGTCTCTGATTTCTCTGAAAACTCAAGATTTCTTTGTCTGAAAGGATTCTAGGTGGATTCCCACCACCACTGACCTTCAAGATTCATAAAGTATTACTGCAAACAACAGATCATTTAAATTATACTCTATTTCTGCTAGTGATTTCTTCTCATTACTTTTAGAGAGAAAAAGAACATTCTAGAATCTTAACAAGGGTGGAGTGGGGAGTGGGCACTGGGAAGGGATATCAGAGCACTTGCTTCTCTCACTTAAACCTTATGATAACCTTAGGAAGTAGGCAGCAGAATCCTGCTTTTAGAAATGTAGAAAAGGGGGGTGCCTGGGTGGCTCAGTCAGTTAAGCGTCTACCTTTGGCTCAGGTCATGATCCCAGGGTCCTGGGGTCGAGCCCCACTTCGGTCTCCCTGCTCAGCGGGGAGTCTGCTTCTCCCTCTCCCTCTGCCTGTCCTTTTTTTTTCTCTCTCTCTCTCTCAAATAAAATAAAATAAAATAAAATAAAATAAAATAAAATAAAATAAATGCAGAAAACAGAAAATAAGGGAAACGAAGTGACTTGCTTAGAGCAATGTGGTTCAGGAGGGCAGGAATTTGAGATTTTCATCCAGGTCTGGCTCTTTCCCCTCACTAGGATGGGTGGACCCAATCAATGCAGCTTGTTCAGCCTGTCTGTACTTCCAATCTCCAGAGCCTGGATTCCCAGGAAAGACCTACCCACCACTCATGTGTTATGTTTGCTGATGAGGGAGCCTCTCTAAAGTGGTTTCCCTGGTGTTTTTAAGAGCTTAAATGATTCAAGATTGTACAAAAATGGTACAATCAAGATCTGTCATCTGAGTTGAAGATAAGTAATTCTCCCAGGAGTGGTGATTCCAGAGAACGAGTGTTAGAGGTTCACGTTCCAGGGAATCCCAAGGATTCCTGGAAATATTGTATTCAGAGTTTAAGTCAAAGGAGCCACAACCTACCTCTCCACAGTCATTCATTCTCACAGAAGGTGGCATCAACACTGGTCCGCCCTTGGCAATTAAACTGGGAGACTTCTGGAGTCAGTGTCCAATTTGTTTGTGACCTGTTGGTCATCAACAGCCTAATAGGAAGGAAAGGAGGTAGTAACTATAGCCTCTCCTACTATATGTGTTTGGATAATGCATTCTTGAGTCAAGAAAGAATGAGAAACAGGGCAGAGGTAAGGGTGGGGCATGGGACTGAGGAAGAGTTGGGCAGAAATGAAACCTGAATGGCTAAGGAGGCATGAAGCAGCCAGAGAGAGTATGTCTAGGGCAGGGACACGGACTGAACTGAAAGATATGACCTAGGAGAGTCCGAGCAATGCCAATAATAAGCACTGAGCATTCCTATTCATGCCATTTCAAATAAGGCTTCAAGATTCTTCAGGATGTTCTATCTACTGGTTAGAAATACACCTCACCTCACAGTTGTGGCTTATATAAGGAGATTTGCATAATAGTGAACCTGTTAATGCCAACGTCGATAGTTACCATTTACTGAATGTCTACTATATGCCTGACACAGCCATCCTTATCCTCACAACAAGGTAAATGTTAGAGTCTCTGTCTCAAAGCAGACACTGAAGTCTGCAGAAGTTCAACTATTTTCCCAAAGTGACATAGCAACGAAGTGGATGCAGACTCTGGTCTTTCAGGCTCCAAAGTCTATGATCTTTCCATGATGCCACATTGCTTCCAAATGCATCTATTTAGGGACCAACTTTATTTTCTATTTTACAGACAAACACTTGAGATTTGGAGAGGTGAAAAAAAAAGAAAAAAAAAACTTTTCTCACATCCTCTTCAGGTATCAGGGGCACATGGTCCCCTCAACTCCTCCTCCTCTTACTTTCTTCAAACCCACTCCCCTGTGACCATTTATTGCCTCTCCCCAAAAAGCAAGCTCAGTTCATTTCTTCAGGAGTTGACACCATGTCAGATATTCCCCCTTGTGATGATTATTTTTGGAAGAACCAGATGGAGTTTTCCCATTTCCATCCTGTTTCTATTTCTTTTACTGCCTGCCACCTTGACCCCCCCACACACGTGGGTGTGATTTGAGTGACTCGTTGTATTTTAGGTTGATATGTGCCTACCCTGGCATCTGATCACACAGGCTGACTGTTTTTGAAGTAAATGGAAAAAGTTCTTGAACAGACCAGAGCGATGGCCATAAGGAATTTAAATGCTCTGCTCTGTGTCCTGCCCAGATGACTGTCTTTTAGTTCATGGTTTCTGAA